GGGTTAGGGTCCTCAAGCTTCCTCAGATGGTTGGTTCCTGAGCCAGAAACCTATCGTGCACATGAAGAATTCATGAGAGGTCGGACTTGGGATCTCTGGTGGTTTCTCCAATCATCAAGTCAAAATTGAGCTTGGGTAGAGAAGTAAGAGTTAGGTAACAAAATAGAATTACTTAAAGTTGCTTTAAAAGCTTCAAAAATTTTAGAATTTCTTAAAAATCGTTTACCCTATGTAGCAGGCCTCGATTTTCTTTTATAGTAGATCAGAAGTGCAAATAGGTAACTTTGAGCGAGTCCAGCTCGTGACTTAGTTGTTATCTATTTTTCAGGTGTCGGTCGTTGTTGATGTCCGAGATCACACAGTCGATGAGAGCTGTCCGCTGATGGCGAAGAGTGAGAGGATGAAAGGTGGAGCCGACTCTTCCTCCGACTTTATGCCAGATCCTTGGACTGGAATTCCTAATTCTTCTGCACAAACAAGAAGAAGAACGAACCCGTAAGAGGGTGGGGCCAGTTTCCCTCGTGGTACTTCCGACGGTCAAGTTAGCTGGTGAGCTTGAGTGGGGTTTGAGGGAGAGCCCCGGGACCATTGAGGTCCTTATCAGGGGGTACTCTTTGTGAGTTATTAATAAAAAGAAAGTTGATCCAGAGGGAGAAAAATGATCCTCCCGAATTCAACCAAGGTCCAGCCTCTTAGTAGAGTTAAGATTAGAAGAATAAGAAGAAGATCCAGATCCCCCTAACCTTACATTCCTTCCTCCCTTTTATAGTCCTTCGCCTTGAGATTCTAACCCTTGGCTTTGACTATGCACAGGGGGTGGTGACGGGGTGAATAGACAGGCTGCTGAGTCATCCTCCACCTTATAGATGCCGGCTGACGACTGGAGGGGAAGTCATTCGAGTACAGGAGGGGATATCTATATGATATCCGGGAAGTGACTTGTGAGCATAGTAAACTGTTTATGCCTGAGATTTGTCAGAGTTGAGATTTTGATGGGATCGATCAATGCTGTAGTTTGATGTATATCTGAAGGGAGCTTAGTTGGATCTTATCCCCTCGGTAGAGATTGGGTTGGTTTTTGGGTCGTCCCTATGATTTGCCGACCAGACAGTCGAGTGAGCTTCTGGTTGAGGAGACAACCGAGTAGATGATTGAGCTGAATATTTGAGGAGTCGTCTTGATTATGAGGTGTCGATTGATCCCGCACTTCGTATCGGTAAAGATGACTCGTTGCTCGGCGAGTCAGTAAATTCGTTCTTAGCTGGGCTTTAGGCCGCTAAGCTGGTTTGGGCCATAGCTCTTTTGGGCCTATGAAGACAGTTTCTTGAATTCTTTGTTTTTAGATGGTGAATTACCATAACAGCCGCTAAAGGGGATGAGGTTTGATGAGTCATAAAGACTTTCGAGGCTGGAGTAATGATGATTATTATCATGCATTTATGGTGATAGTGATTAACTGTCGGCGGGGGCTCGTAAAAACACCCCTAGGGGGGTGGGGGAGGGGTGAATAGGGTGAATGCTAATCTAATCTAATTTAATGCCAATTAAAACTAATTAATAAATTATCCTAGCAAATAACATATACAATAGCTTATATGTGCAATGATATGTAAACTAAGAGCGCATAAACATGAGCAATTGCAATATATAATGAATGAACAATGAGCACAAATAAATATGCCAATGCAAACTCAAACAAGCGATATGATCACGGAGTTCGGTTCCCTCGACCTACGTCTCTGCTCCCCACTCCCAGGGAGAATCCACTATCATAATAGGTTTTCAACATTCACCCAAAAATGTTTACACCACACAATAGCGGTTTTCAACGCTCACCGATCAACGTTCATAATTACTAACAATGCAACTACACAAATACCATCTCAAGTGTTGCCCTCTCACGTATCTCCCTCAAGTGCTTGGAATTACTCTCTCTCACTAGGCTTTACTACTTACGCCACTCTTTTTGGGACCCGACCACGTTTCTCACATCTGCACTCCTCTTGGTGTACTTGTGCAATACAAAGTGCACCGCACAAATTAATGCTCAATAATAAATGATTGTTCTCTAAACAAGGTGAGAACTAAATTAAGCTCAACTCAATGTTACAAACTCACAACCCCAAATATACTATATATGAATATACTAAAAGCTCAAATGAGTGTGTGTAACAAAGAAAATAAAATCAAAACTAAACTCAAAAATAAACTCTAGCTTAATAAACAAACAATTATATATAAATGTAAAGCTAGATTAAGTTTACAAATGCTTCTCTAAAGATGACAAGAGAGAGAGGGAGATGAGTTGAATGCCCAAGAACAAATGATGATCTCCTCATGCTCTTGTGAAAATTTCTTCACAAACAAACTTGTAAACAAATGAAACCCTTAAACTCTTTTAGAAACTTTCTTAAACTTGTTTTTAAAACATTCTCTTAGTTTGTTAAAAAAGTTATGGCAAATGGGTATATATAGGATGAAAGAACAAGCCCCAAAACCAAGAGAAAACCAAGGAAAAAGACAAAAAAATAGAAACCTAAAAATCTATAAAACTAGCTGTTGGAAAGCCGTCGGTCGATTGATGAACAATATCAGTCGACTAATGAACTGACCGTTATAGGCAACTCACAACTCATCGGTCGACTAAAGACCTCATTAGTCGACTGATAAACTCATCAGTCGACTAATAGTTCATCAGTCGCAAAAATAAAAACTTTTACACTTTCCAGACGATTTCTTCAGTCGATTGATCCCTTGCATCATTCGACTGATAATACAATATCAACCTGTTTTGAATAGTGAAAATAAATTTCAAGAGCCTTTAAAAAATAGCAAATAAATTCTAAAAAATATAAAATTTTGGGATATGCTTGTAAACATGAAAATAAACATATTACAAAAAATTATGGAATTGCACTTCCTATTTGTGAAAACTCATCATTTTGAAAAAATAGTCTTAAAACATGAAAACACAACAACACATGTTTTTGACAAAATGACTTAAGCAAACTCTTGAAATATTTTGAATGGATTTATAGACTTAGGAAAAGATATAAAATGGTATAAACAAGTCTTAAATCTATAAACACATAATTTTGTAAATAAACATCTTTAATACATAAATGAAATCATATTTATTGGCATGTATAGATATGAAACAAATACGTGTACATATATAAATATATCCATTTGTTTCATATATATATGGCTAAACATATTGCTAAACAAAATCAATAAATATGAAACGTGGATGTATGTAAACAAGTATATGTATTTCATATTTATAAAAACGTGAAAACTACAAAACAAAAAATGATGTGTGTGTGTGTAATATGATTGAGCTTCAAGTATCAACACAGAAAGCATAAACCTAAAACTAAATTACCCAAGCTATCTTGATCTTCAATTTGAGCTCGTCTGGGTAAACTTTGCGGATGAAGCTTGATCTTAGATCTTGATTTAAAATGTATTGCTTTACTTTACTATTTTTGGTAACCTCCATTTTATATGATCATTATGACGCAATTCCATCCGACCTCCGACTCATTGTTTGTCTAGAATACCTAATAAAAAAATACAAACACTAGACAAACAACATTAGAAACTATTTGTAATCATCAAAACAAGATTAGGAAGTAGACTCATAAACATGATGCCAACAATCTCCCCCTTTTGATGATGACAAATAATTTACAAAAAGAGATATACATGATACGAAATGAATATATAAATTATAAACATCATGCATAAAATCAAGGCAAGATATACTCACAATATTTCTCCCCCTTTGACAACATCAAAAAGGGAAAAACAAAAAAGGATAAGATAGCGTAAGCTCCCCCTACAAATTTGCATAGGTGAGTATAAAATAAATAAATAAAATAGGGAAAAGCTCCCCTTATCAAAAAGCCATAAAAATATATATTCAATATGAGTATGGAAAACATAAGTGAGCAAGCATAGATATAGAGTATGCTAATTGTTAGATCCTAGAGGAGAGGGGGGGGGGGAG